TGTGAAAAGAAACCAACTACTCGAAGGGAACTTTCACGTGCAAGGCAAACACTTCTAAGAGGATGGTTAGGCAACCCTGGGGAGCGTCTGTATCCCCGTAATAAACCGTCGCTCTTAGCTTAAGACGGAAGAAACCACCAGAAGATGCTTCTCCGTTTGAAGCTATAACCTTTTACTAACCACACCATTTAACAAGAGTAGTTAAAGAAGAGGAGGGGACACGACCGGAAAAAAGATACTTCCCATAAAACCAAATATTTTATATTCGTCAACTATTTTTTTTTAATATGGCCTTACCCGAGAAATAAAATACAATTTCTCTTTGACGGATAATGATCATGTCAAATATCTTAGCTTTGGTGTTGTCTGTCTTACGACCGACAAACACACATTGTTCATCCCTTTCACCGCGTAGAGGTGTATTTGACAACGAAAGGGAAAAGTATGGTCTGAAATCAGACAGAAAACTTTTTCAAAAAAAGTTTGTAATGCGTTCGAAAATATCATCCATCAAAAAAACCATCGACCTCAAAATTTGTTGATGAAGCAACTTGCGAGAGTGCTTTGACCGTTTATCCTCGAACCTAGCCAGGATATAACCCCGGGGCCAACCTTAGACACCAGATTATTGTTAGGCCTAGCATCATACAAATTGGAGTGTAAATGTCTGATGTTATGATGATATTAGATGTCAACTATTTTTTTTTAATATAGCCTTACCCAAGAAATAATAACAATTTCTCTTTGACGGATAATGACTGCTTGTAAAAGTGCTTTACTTTTACAACAAAGGTAGTTGGTTTATTTACGAATTGGCTTTATTTGAACTTTAAAGATTCTACGTTTTCCTATTTGAAAAATGCATGACGTGATGATCGGACCAATCATTAATAGTTTTGATCACGTTGTCACGTCATAGATTCCAAAGCTTTTTGATGCTTTTTTTTGTTTTTTTTGAAAAGCAATTTTGTATCAGAATTTCTCTTCTAATAAAATTCTACCAAAAACTTCTCCCTTGATACCAAATGTTTGTAATATGAAGGTTTCCGTTTCTTTATTTTGCTGAAGATTTTCGAGAAGAATCCGCATAGTATTTTATTTTCTTTATATTGTCGTGAAAATTCCAATAATTTTGCACTTTGTTGCCTGTGAATTTTTCGAAACAAACTCATATAGCAGTATATATTACTTGAAAATCAGTATTTTTACTAGTTATCTTTCCTTTCTTAGTTCCTCTCCTTTCAACCCAAATTTTTGAAGAAAATGTCATGCTACTCTGGTTATCAGTACAAATATAAACTATAAACCCCAACGCGTAACTATACTAAAATATTAGTTAAAATACGCGTTTCTTTCGTATATCCTGCCTGCGGAACATGTGAGAACTTCTTTGACTATTATACGTTTTAAGAGTTAAAAGAGCCCGTGACGCTTCGTTCTATTGTTAATTCTATACCCGTTAGCGTGTGTACGCTTTTTTTTTAATAGGTAGACTTGACCTTTCTGACCAACGACCCAAGAAGAATGATTAAATGGTATTATCTCATAGATATTGCGAACTTTTTTTTGAGAACTCGTTACATTCCTGTTCAAAATTATTTTATTTTATTTGTTATAGGACGGTTATTTTCATAACTTATCACGATTTTTATTCGAAATTTTTTTTTCCTAGATCCTATTACTAAATATCCTTTAGTTGAACAAGCGATTTGTTTGATAAAAATTAAAAGAAAAAAAAGGAGATTCATTTATTACGAAGAACAGAGTAATGGCGCATTCTCAAGCAAAAAAAAGTTACAAAATCCCCCCAAAAAAGTATTGGACCCCGATAATCTCTGGTGAATTGAAGTTGGAGACGAAATATTAACGCCATTGTTTAATCCAACTTTACGTTTCAAGATATAAATGAATTTTGTTATTATGGTACGACCACAATTTGAACTTATTGCAAGGGCAAGAAGCAAGGGGCAATCGAACATACATTTGATTTCGACTTTTTTTGTTTTCACTCTAAAGGAACTTACTTACCCCCCACCGCTCCACGAATCCGAGGCTGCAAGGTAAAGCATTAAATAATAATAATAAAAAATTCCCATCTAATTTTTTAATTAATGTAAAATTGCTCCTTCCGGTTTTGTAGAGAAATATTCCGACTGCTAAACTAATGAGTACTAAGAGGAAATTGTTCTATCCCGGTCTAAGATTACTTTCGGTATACCTGAACTTATTTTGTTTGACAACAAATGTTTCTAAACAACTTCTTGGAAAATTGCCATTTTTAGCCTTGACCGCTTGCTAGTTCAATGATGTTCCCGAAAAATTTTCTGTATTAATGAATGGCCAGGAAAAATTCGCTGATTACCTCTCTACACGTGATTCGAAAATTATTTTATTTTCGTGTCCATGAGACAAAAAAAAAAATAATAGAAAAAAATGAGTACCAGGTACTATTCAAGCAAATCTGAGCCTAATTTGAATAGTAACCCGGAGGTACATGGTACATAAGGTGGTATTAATCATGATTTATGATCATCGTCGATCATCTTTTTTTACTTTCGAATTTTTGAATTTTTAACTATACATTCATATTATGTTTAGATAACAAACACGAATTTCACGGATGACGCGAATTTCGCAGATAACGCGATCAGAGTTTTATTTATTTTAACGTTGGATTTCATTTTTTCAATTTTTTTTTTTTTTTCTCTTTACAACATAAATTTACCATTTCTTTATTGCTCTATCAAAATAAAATGGCTCCGCATGCAAACAACAATACCAATCGTGCAAGAGTGTCAGAAAATTGCGAAGAGTATGGTATGGAATGTAAGAGAAAAACTTGTAGTTGCCGCCTTCCATATTATAAAATAAAATAAAATAAATTACATTGTTACGTAAAAAAAGAAAATACCCAAATTATTATATATGTTATTACTATATATGAAATCAAAATAAAAATCCAAAAGTCAAAATGTTTTGACTTTAGAAATCTAATACCATATTATATAAAAACAAAAAATATTTGAATTTTATAAAATAATTACTTGAAAAATCCAATAAGCTAAATATCATTGATTTCAGATCATTAAATCTTGAGATAATCATGATCAAATTTTAAAAATCTGAACTTCTTTATTTAAAATAGAATTTAATAAATTATAATTTCAGCTGATAATTTAATTGTGATTATCTTGAATTTAAATAATCTGAAATAAATAATATTTAGCTGATTGGATATGTCTAGTTGTGAAAGATCAAATGGTCATTATTTTATAAATTCAGAATAACATTGATTAAGAATGTAAATTTTTTATTTTTTTTTAGATTTTTTTATATATGAAAATCATGTAATTGAGAATTTGAAAAAAATACTATATTATTCAATTATAATAATAAAACTATTGAAATTTAAGTATTATCTATAAAAAGAAAAATATTTCAATTTTGCTTTATCATTTAGGTATTAATATTTTTTTCAAATCAATACTTGTATTCTATTTTATATTCTAATAATAATCTTAAAGAGTTTTTTTATTAATATTTTTTAAGGGCTTGAAATTTTATATTTATATATAAATTATATAAATTATAAAGAAACATTTCGCATTACAAATAAATAATATATTTATATAATTTTTTATTTTTTTACTTCCTTCTATAGGTTTTATTTTCCAAAAAATATATTTTATCATAATTAAAAATGTCATTAAAATTATAATTCTTTAGAACATTACAAAACTTCTTCACATATTATTTCAAGATTATTAAGTGATATACTTATAATATTTATATACTTTAATTTGTTATATGTATAATAACAATACTGCTATTTTAAGAAAAAAATATTAGTTTTCAAGTTTTTTAAAACTATGATATAAATGGTTTAGTCAATTCAAATAGCTAAACCATTGCTAAAAAAATTTTCAAATTCAACTTTGAATTCATTGATCAAAAACTAATACGTAATCAGTTATAACCATACATTATTTGATATTATTTATGATAATTTTTTAATATTTTTCTTTTTTATATCTCAATTTAATAAGATTATAATGCTAAAACTAAATAAACATATTAAACAGTTTCAGAAAGCTATAAAAAATGCTGATAGCAAAAAAATACTCAGAAAAAATTATGTTTAAACTATTAAATATTAAACTTGATGAGTTTAATGAATTATAATCCTTTACCCTTAAATTTCAAACCTTCAAATTATTACTATGAGTTATCCTTTCATATGAGTTATACTTTATCTTATTTATACAAAAAATATAATAATAAGAAAATCTATATATGATATTATTTAAAAATAAATAATTTATAACAATAAAATAATTAATATATATAAAATATAATCTAAATATTATAAATTGTAAAACTATGTTAACTATAATAAATAAATAAATAAATAATATAAGAAATATAAATATGTTGAAAATATTAAAAATATTAAAAGGGTTGATAATATTAACATTTTTGTAAATCTTTATGATGCAGTAATTTTAACATAATCTGGTATCATCATATTTGAAAAGAAAATATAATGCATATATATAATATAATTCTGATTCAAATAAACTGAACTATTATGCAATATATTTTCTTACTTTTCAACCTAACTTTGCATTATAAAGCATACATCTATAAAAGGTAAGTTATTAATTAATTAATTATTTATTTCAATATTCAAATTATATATAAAGTCAAAATAAAAACCCAAAAGTTGAAATAAAAAGTTGAAATAGTTGAAATAATGTTATATTACATGATTTTTCATATAGAAAAAAATTTTAAAAAAATAAAAATATATAATCTCAATCAATATTGCTTCAATTTGTATAAAACTACTACTATTCTATTCTTTACGTCTAGATGGATCTAATGAACTAACATTTATTGATTTCAGATCAGTCCATCTTGAGATATTCACAATGAAATTTCAAAATCTCTTTATTTAAAGTAGAATTTATTGATTAATAATTTTGGCTGATAATATAATTACTACTATTCAATTTCTCATAACTAGACGAATCCAATAAGCTAAATTTCATTGATTTCAGATTATCCAATTACGAGATAATCATTATTTCATATGAATCAGAACAATATTAAACGAGATCATACATCTTTTGTTTTTTGTTATTTTTCAATATGAAAAATCATGTAATATGACATCATTTTGACTATTTCACGACTTTAGGCTCTAATTATCAAAATGATTTCAACTATTTTGACCATTTTGGATATTTGAAATGATCAATTTTAACTTCATATATAATTCAAATATAAATTAAAATACTTATCTTAAAATTATTGAAGCAGCAGGATATATGTACATGTTCTATTTAAAATTCCATTGTAAGCTAAATAATATTAAATTGTTTTATACAAAAAAAAAGAGGTATTTATAACTTTATTACAACTATTTGTTCAATAGCTTTAAGAAAATTATGCTGGATGTATTAGATTCAATTAACCTAACAAAAATTTACCAGTTTTTATATTATTCTGCATGTTATATAAGTGCTTACAAACTTAAACTTTTGGGTAAGATAGCTAGCTATTTTTGTGATTAAATAATATCACTCTCATTGTTAAATTTCTAAAAATATTTTAGAAAAGTTTAGAGATATATAAGAATAAAAGTTTTAAGCTATGATTAGTCAATCATATCCTGTTATATGATTTATACGCACTAATCATATTTTGAGCATATAATAACTGATATACTAAAATCCTACTATTATTATTAAAGTTAATGTAAAAAAACCTAATTGCAAAAAATTTTTATAATAAATTAAATTAAAGCTACAGTGAAATCTTGATATAATGAATTCTAGAATCTAAATATTAACTTCGTTATAAGCTTATAATGAATTTTTTAAAGAATTTAATTGGCTAGTTTACTATATTAAGGTAATTTTAATATATTTGATTTAAAAATTCGCTATATCAAGGTTTGACTGTATATAGTAGGTAAATTTGCCTGCAAAATTAAAAGAAGTATTAATTTCTTTATAAAATGTTAAATATTAATTTTAGTAATATTGTCACCTCTTAAATTCGTAAAGAGGTGATTTATAGTTAATATGTCAATTGGGTTTATTATGTAAACAACGATGTATTTAGCAAATATGTATGTAAAATAATTTAATAAAGAAATTAAATAAAGTTTTTATTATAAAAAATAATAGGAAATAAATTTTATTAAATAAATTTGTAAAATAATACAATAAATACAACACCTAAAATTGTTATTAGTATCAAATATCAATTAAATAAATATTTTTCTAAATAATTTGAAATATATCAATATCATATACAATACAAATTTTTTAAAATATTTTTTTTTTAACAAATATCTATTATATCATATTTTTAAAAAAAATAGTTCATACTTATGTTATATTATTACCTACTTATAAGAATATTATTACTATTATTACCTCTGCCAATACTCCTTAATAGGTCTAAAGAGAAAAGAAAACCATCTAATTTTATTCAAAAAGCAAGATGAAAAACCCTTTCTTTATAATAATCCTCTTTTCATAGCTTAGTTATAAAATTCTTAACAGGATTAATAATTATTACAGCTTGATTGACGATAATGCTGATTGATCATTTCATTATGTTAAAATGTTTATTTTAACAATTTTAACATATATATTCCATTATATTGAGATATTCTGAATCACTAAAAAGTCCAAAAACTCAATTCTAATTAATATGGCAGAAATTAATCGTCAGAACTGCAGAAATTCAATTTTAAACGTAATCAATTTCTGAGTAATAATATTTAATATATTTTTTATTAACTTTATTAACAAAAATTTTAAGTTTTTTAAAAGGTTATTAAAATAATTTAATTTTAAAATTAAGTTTCAAAAAATTTCTTATTATAATTTTTTAAAAAATTTATAAGTTTACATATTAATTGAATTACTTTATCATTAATTAAAGTCATAAAATTTCTTAATAAATTATAAAAATTATAATAATTAAAGTTTTTCTTTATTTATTATAATTAATATAATTAAAAGTAAATTCTAAAAAGTTTATCATAGATTAATCATAAAATTTTAAAATAAATATTTTTTAAAAATTACAAATTTTTAGCTTCTAAGTAACATACATTTTTTATTATATAATTAAAAGATAAAACTTATTATAATATATATATATTTATATAATTAATTTAAAAAAAAATTTTTTTTAAAATATTAATTATTTATAAAAGTAAATCAAAAGAGAATTTATAATAAATAAGCAGGCAAATTTGTCTGCAAAAACCCTATAATCTAAGAAATAGTTATTATAGTTATTATATTATTTATATTTCTTATATATCTTTGAATACTTCAAGTAATTATTTTTATTTAAATATATCTTGAGTTTTAGAATAGTGAATGATAGGTTTTTCTACAAGATTTTATTGTAAGTTTTAAAGTATCATCTTTAGTTTAGTTTAATATCTAATATTTATATACCGGGGAGGACAAAAGTATTGCATAGTTTTGATTTAGATATTTTAGTTAATTTATCATATGTAACTGAGCCATATTTTTTAGTAACATATTAGCTGGCTTATGCTTAATAAAATATTTAAATAATTGTTAAAATTAAAGCATTGCAAGGTATAAATCGAAAATTTAAAAACACATTGCTTTTCAATTTATTGCATATACTAAGCTTTGATATCTGATTCAATATTTGGTTTTTGGATGTTTCTCTTGCAAAAGAAACCAAATAACTATTGTATAATAAAATCCTATAACTTTTATGATTTCTAAGTTACTGAACAAATTTTTTGCTATAATAATGCTCTTTTTTTCTAAAAGATAAGTCCTTTAATTATACTATCACTTGCGCCAAATTGAACTTTGGGAGTATTTTCAAATTTGATTTTACGAATTGCAACATATTAATTCAAACTATAATAAAAATATTTTATTTATGTAATCGATAATCAATATCTTACTAAAAATATGGCTTAGTTACATATGATAAATTAACTAAAATATTTAAATCAAAACCGTGCAATACTTTTATCCTTCCCCAGTAATACAGAGTACTAACAGAGACAGTATTCATTTATTAGAAACATATTGAATAAACAATCGACTTTTTTGACTCAATCTATATAATTTTATAAACCTTTACTTTCTGCTTACCTTACCACATTTTTAACCTTTAAGCGATCACAAAAAACTGACTATAACAATATCAATATCCTTCACATTATATTTATATTAAAGATTTATTATTAACTATACTAATTTATAAATTATTTATAGATCTTTAATATGATAATTTTGGTACTTATTGAAATATTTATTATTGGGTTTATTTACCATTTAGAGATATGATAGCATATCAAAAAAATTAATTAAAAATTATTTTATACTTGGATTTATACATTTAGTAATAATTTTAATAAATTTATATTACCATTTATTTCAGAAATAAAAGAATTAGAATAAGGAAAATAATGAAAGTAAATGAATAAAATGCATGGATAATAACAAGTTTAGGTGTTGTAATTTCTGATTTACTATAAAGAAATAATGCAGTTGGTATATTAAGATATAATGCTATAAAAGGTTGTAGAACTTGTAATATTTCTAAAAAATTACTTATGAATTATACTCAAAATATAAATATCAAGATATCATCATATTACTAATAAGCAATTTAATGAAATATTAAATGAAAATAATATATTAACACAAAAAAACTTAGCACAAAATATAGATTAAAAATACAATATAGAATTTTAAATGAGTTAAAAAGAGAAATGTTCTTATAAATATCACAAGAGATTTATCATGTTATGTTAGGTAAAATTAAATGTCTTCTTAAATTAACTTGTAAATTATTTTCAAAAGAGGAAGAAATAGATTTTATTAATATTTGGAAAACTTTTGAAAACCAAAAAATTGGTCACATTTACTAAATTTAATTAGTCATCATAATAGTTTTAAGATGTTAAATTATTTTCGATTAGCTATAATAATGCCTTTTATATTATATCAGTTTTAATTAATTCAAGTATTAAAATAATAAAGCTAAAATATTCAAGAAAGAATTGAAATACATATTGATTTAATACTAGAATATATTATACTTAGTTAGATATATATTGCTAAAACAATTAAAACAATAAAATTGTTTTTAGTAAATTTATATATAAATTTATATATAAAAATATATTTTAATTATTAATAATATATTTTTCTTTTATTTTATAATATTAAAATAGCTTTTTGTAAAATTTGTTAATCTAACAAATTTACATATCAATATGTATCTTTTATTACATGTAAAAACTTATGATACTCTTATCAAAATTCAATATGATATCAAAAAAAATGATATATTGTATTTTTAAAAAAATGATATCAAAAATAAATTGTAAAAATATAGATTTAGATTTATTAAAATGTTATACTATATTTTTTGTAATTCAACATTTAATTGATAGGATATTGATTTAAAATATGCAATTAAATTTTAATCAATTATTTTAAATTGGTATATTATTGAAAATAAATCTTCTAAAATAGAAAAAGATTAAGATGATAATATAAATGGTAAATTAAAATTAAAATTTTTTTTATATTAATTAAAATTTTTTTATTTTTGATATAATTTTTAATTTTTTAAAAATAATTACATCTCTAATAGATTTTATATTTAATATTTCTTTAAAAAAAAATGTCTAAAAGAGATTATAATAAATTTTATTTAACTTTACAAAGGTTAAAAATGTTAAAAATTGAATTATATTTATTATATAAAGATATGGGATTTAATGTATTAATTGTAAATTCTAAAATAAAATAGTATGAATTAGCAACATATATAATTGAAAAAAATAATAGTAACTTTTCAAAAGTTTATTTACATCTTAATAACATTGTTACTATTCAAGATGAAGATTTAAAGAACCTTATATAATAGTTAAAGAAATTTTTTAACATAAAGGTAATAATAAAAATAATTATACCTTTATTATTGTAGATTAGTTTGTAAATAATGAAAAAAACATTTATCAACTTCAAATAAAAATTTGGAGACATATTTTTCTAATTAATGTAATTGATAGTATACAAAAGATACATTTTATTAATTAATTAAACAAAATAGATTAAAAATGATTTTTAATTTACAGAAATATAATTTATTTTTTAAATAAAATTAAATTACAATTGCATAATAATATTATTTTCAAATTTTGTAATATATTATCAAAATTCTTGTTATAATGATATCATATCGACATAAAATCAAAATCAATATTCATATTTTAATGATTTCTTAATGATATCAATTCAATATTATTAATTCAATATAAATTAAATATAATTACAATATAAATTATGATATAATTAATAATATTAAATTGAGATCAATGTGATATCATAATAATATATTCAATTCATATTATGATGATAAAAATTTGATGTAGAATGGTTATAGTAATAATATTGATTCAGTATAGAATCTATATCATTTGTTATATTATTATGATATGGATTTTATATTGAATCAATATCACAATGATAAGAAATTGATGTAGAATGCATATTGTTTATTATATCATTATAATATAAATTTTATATTGAATCAATATTGCAATAATGAGAAATCAATGTAGAATTTATATTATAATAATATAGTTTCAATGTAGAATTCTTATTGTTATGATATAATAAATGATATAAAATTTATATTATTATGATAATATTTTGATATCAAATTATTATCAAAATAATATAGTTTCAATATAGAATTTATATTATTATGATATTATAATTCTATATCGAATATATATCGTTATAATATAGATTTGATATTTTTGTAAATCTATTATTATGATATTACATCAACCCCAATTCAATATTATCAACTATATCATAATTATATTATAATCATATTGAATCGATATCGTATTGATAATATCAAATAAATATCAAATAAATATCATTAATATATGAATATCAATATCACTCGCAGCTAATTATAAATAAAAATCATTTTCAAATTAAACTGAAATTTATATATCCATATTGCACTACTTTATTTTGTATTTGTTTACTTATTTATTTTATATAACAAAATAACTAAATTAAGTAATATGATAAAATATCAAATGCATTATCAGCTTCAATTAATATTTTCATGCCTTAGTAATTTTTCCTTAATATATACATGAGTTTTGTCTTGAAATCAAGGTATTTTTTAAGATACTTTTAAAAATATAAATAAATATATAGTTTTAACAATAAAAATATATGTTAATTTACAAATCAATTTTTTTATAATTATATAAAGATTTTTATTTTTATTTTAATAAAGTTTTTAGTTTTTAATTTTCTTTCTATTTCATATATTTTAATGTTATTTTAAAAATACTAATATTTATTCAATATTTTTATTATTGTAGAATTTGGTATTTTACAACTTTGAAGTATTTTTTTTTATATTATAATATTATATAATATGTGATTTTTACTTTTTTGTTATTGATAGCATACTTTATGATCAATGGAATACCTTCTAAACTTAAGTAAAAAGTTTATTTAATAACATTAAAGTTGATATTTCTTATATTTTTAAAAAAAAGAAATTCTAATTAAAATATTTATCATTATATTATCTGAGCAAAAAAAATATTGGAATTTCAAAAATCTAAGTAAAAAAAGTAACATGTAATATCAATTTAATGTATTATAATATTTTCAGAATAAAATATAAAAAAAATATAAAAATAAATAAAAAATATATATTAAGCAAAAATTATTTTTAATAGACATATTTTTTAAGAGTTTTTGTTAATTCAAATGATAAGCTTTATCATATTTTTTCTTTTATAAGTAACAAACTTTTAACTTGTTAATATAAAGCTGAAATTTATTCAATAATACTTTATTTTTTTTAAAAAAACGATTTATATTTATTTTTAATACAAAAAAAAAATATGAAAAATTTATGTTTAAATTGCCTGTTTTTCAAATAAGATCTATTAAAAGTTAATAAGAAGTATTCAAGTTTTTAAGTTGTAAATTAATAGTTATGAACTTAATAAACAATCATATAAAAATCTTAAAAATATATAATAAAGTTACATAACTTGCTTATCAATAAAGTAAAAAAGGCGTAAATTTTCATATAATAATTATAACTAACGCTATATGTAATACCATTTGTTACTCAAAATTAGAGAAATGATTTGTGTATGATATTATTATTATTATGATATCAAATAGATATAAATATTATAATGATATTAAATTAATATTGAAATGATATTATTGTAATATTGAATCACTATCATTAGAACTTTAAGGATTTCCATAAAGTATATGTTAATTATAAAGGAATAAAGAAAAATATCAGTATATATTACTATATAAAACTATATATAATATCAATATAAGAAGGTTTTTTATTAATTGTAAAATAAAACATAAAAAATTTATTGATACAAGCAATTATTATTACATATAATATTATACATAGAAATCTAATTATATATTATATTTACAATTGAATTATTAAATTTACGTAGTTTTATAGTTTTGCAATTGAAAATTTTAGCAATTTCAAATTTAAATTATAAAAATTAAATAAATTAAACTAATAAATTAATCATCAATGATTCAATATTAATTGATCCTAGGTTTAATACTAATTAATTTGAGATTTAGCACTAATTAATCTTTATAAAAAGTTATTAAATAACTATAATTTGCTTTTTATGTTATAAAATTTTATAATATAACATTTCCTTTAATAGTAATACAAAAAAAATTTTACTATATCCCTTATAAATGTTCATTATATAAAAAAAACTTTGTTAATAAAATCTTATTTATTATATTTATTATAATTAGTATAAAATCTTCAATTCATTATACATAATAGTAAGTTTTATTGTAAAAATATTTTATATTCAATTATTTTATTTAATAAAATTTAACACTACTCATGTAATCTACTATAATAAAAAATTTAAAATATAGAAATTTGTTATTTGTTAGATTGTCTAGCAGACAAATTTGCTTACAAAATTAAAAAAAAAAGTTAATCTCTTTATAAAATATTAAATATTAATTTTAGTAATATTATTACAATATTAAAAATATAGTTTAATATATAGGATCTATCAATAAAACCATTTTTATTAAAAGAAAGAAAATGAGCAAATGCTAATATCTGAGATAATATTCATAAAGTTATTTAAAATTCTAATATTGCAGCAGATCACATTGACTATCATGATAATTTTATGGCTGAAATTTTCAAAGATATATATTTTATCAACCTTACTAACAAAATTTTAAGTTTTTTAAAAAGTTTTAAAATAATTTAATTTTAAAATTCTTTAAAAATTTATATGTTTACATACTAATTGAATTATTTTATCATTAATTAAATCATAAAATTTCTTAATCAATTATAAAAATTATAATAATAAAAGTTTTATTTTATAAGTAATTTTATAATATTCAATTATTTTTTAATATAGTTAAAATAAATTCTAAAAAGTTTATCATAGATTAATTATGAAATTTTTAATATATTTTTTTTTAAAAAATTACAAATTTTTAGCTTCTAAATATTATTAAATTTTTATTATATAATTAAAAGATAAAATTTATTATAATATTTTATATATTTATTAAATTAATTTTAAAAAAAAATTTTTTAAAATATTAATTATTTATAAAAGTAAGTCAGAGGAGAATTTATAATAAATAAGCAGTCAAATTTGCATGTGAATTTTACAATCTAAGAGATAGTGAATTTTAATTGTATATTTATTTTATAATCACATAAAAAATAAATTTTTATTTAATAATATTTAATTTAATTTAAATATAGTTTATAATTTTATAAATTAATCTATTAGTATATTTATTTAATATTATATACATAAATAATAAATATTAAGAAGATTTTATATTATAACTAATTTAATTAAAATAATAAATAAATATTTTCTTAATTAATTAGAAAATATTATTATCTAGATTTAAATAATTTAAATGATGACATCATTGAGTTTATTTGGTAAGCTAAAAATAATTCAAGTTTTAAATTATTGTTATCCCAATTTGGTTAGTTCAAATAATCAATAATTTGCATACAATTTAAATTGATTTATTATTTTCATGTGGTTGATAGAGTATATATTTGATTTTCAACTTAGATTTGTTGAGATTTTTGTTTATTTTTGTTTATTTTTTTTTTTATATATTAATAACTCGCCAAAATAATATTAAAAATTTTTACATGAATTATATTTATAATAAAATTAATGTTTTATTTTTATTATTGTTCTCTAGTAGATAAATTAATAATAATAATATACTGTAAATACATAAATTTCTACTAGATTGAATTAATCTAAATTGTGTCTAGACTGAGTTATTATTTTCAAATAATTTATTCCACAATTTTTAACAAAAGACCATAATCAATATAAGCAAACAGTGCCCAGCGGGTGGGCGGGTGGCGAGACATTATTTAGAAAGGAAATGACCGGCTGTCATGATAGGTTAATGTTAACCTCAAGATTAGTTTTCGGCTAATTTCCTTTTTAAGATGCACTCTAGTTAAGCGATGATCATGTATAAATTAGGCTTTCGTAAAAATTTAAATTTATTTCTTCTTGTCGATAAATATGCAAAAATTGTAGAATTATTAGTATTTGATTTAAAATAAACAACAAAATATGGAATTATAAAATATATTTGAAAAAAAAGTAAATAGTTTATTTCATCAATAAAATAATTCACTTTGCGTTTGCTGTAATGAAGTATTTTTCTTTTTTTTTTAAAAAAAAGAATTAATTTCAATAATTCAGGCTTATTAGACAAATTTTACAAAACGTGTTTATCTATATACTCAGCCCCACGTACTTAGCGTTTGCATGAATTATAAATAATGTGAAGCACTAACTGAATCATCACTTCTTAACTTTGAGATTTCTTCACCATTACAAGTAAGTAGTTTTTTTTTGACTTTGCTTATTGCAAAATGTGTCTTGGCTGTTTACTTTCTAATTATATCTTTTTTTATAACATTCAAATTTAACTACACGAATTAACTAGAATGTTTCATAATCGTTACTCTCTCATCATCAATATATTTATAATTCTGGTAGCTTTATCAACAACAATTTTTTCAATCCCTTTAATTAAACGAGAAGATATTGATAATTTCAATTGTCAAGAAACAGAAAATCAAGATTGTTGCGCTTTGTTAGCATTCAAAATTGCTAAAAATCACCATGCACGTGTTGCATCAATTTTTATAATCAATAAGAGTGGTTTTAATATAAAACCCCTTTCCAACAATCTTAATAAAGGTCGTTGGATCAAACATGATGATCATCAAAATATCGACATAAACTGCGATCCACCAACTGAACCGATCGCAAATGGTCAATTTGTAAGTTTTTCTAGCATAACAAGTCATTTTTTCGGCGGAGTGGAAGGTGTTGCCTATTTTATCATTGATGACAATATTACAAACACCAAATTTTCTATCTCTTGGGATGTACCATTAATTGGCCCTCCTGATTACGAACTCGATGGATTGCCAACGAAGAAATATTACAATGAAAGCAGAAATGACCTCGATAAAACAGTATATCAAGTTACTATTAATTAAGCTTAATCATCTAAATTTGTCATGAAAAATATTTTATAAATTTTTAACGTTGAAATTTCTATGACGATAATACTTTTGAATATACAATATATAAATATTATAATTATAATTTTTGTATCTTTTATTTCATACGGTTATTTTGTTATTTATCGTCGGTTTTAGCTTTAAATAAAGAATAACAACATTCATATACTGTAGTTGAAAAGTTTTATAGATTATTAATAAATTAATGAAATAATAATTAACGTAACACAATGTCGCAGCGTAAAAATAATAAGCCATCCCGTACAAAAAAGATTACTGTTTTTCAATAAGCAACCTGTTTTTTATGGCACCTATTACTTGTTTTATAATATGTCCAGTTTGAGTAATGTACCGATACCTTGGGCCTAAATTTTGATATAATTTTATTTAATATAGTATCTAAAAAAAAATGTAATGATGTGATGGATATGCAATAAACGCAATGTATAATTACGTAGTTATATATTAAACATCGGTGGTTTCTTGCACTACTAAGATTTTTTTTTTATTATCAGACTAAATAACTAACTCGTTCGTTAAACAAAATTTATTTGACGTGCAGCGATTATGATTTTCTATGCGAATATCAAAAAGAAAATCCGCAATATGTCCATGCGCTTCCAAAAAATCGGAACTTTTGTTAGAACATATTTTTGAAAGTAAGATCTATTATAGAAGGCGTATATTAATGACTTATCAAATATTATCACATCTGTAACGGTCCTTATTTCTTATTTTTTAAAATGGTAACTTTGACTTCATTATAGAACGTCAACAGTTGACTGAGAGCCCTTATCTCGAATATCTGATAATCAATAATAATTTATTATTTAAACAAAAAGATCGTGTGCGAATTATGACACCATATTGACGTAATTTTTAAGTCTCTCTAGATTCACTCTAATATTCATGATTATTCAACTATGAATCAATGACATTTAAACATATTTCTCAAGTTATTTATTTTTGAAATTAAGCTGAGATCACTAAAATGACCTGAAGGTATCGGTCGGTCAAAAGCTTCTGACTGACCGACTTTTGACCGATTTTTAATTAATAACAACGAATTCAATGATAATTTTTTTTTTTATTTTTATAAAACAAACCGTTAATTTTTGCGTTAATGTGGCGTCAAAGGTATCAATAAATATAAATATAACAATTAAAATAGTTTAAAAAAATTTAATTTAGTACAATAATAAGCCAAAAAATGACAAATTCATATTACTGTACAACGGTCGGTCGTTAACTGACAGTATTGTCAATTTATTATGTAAAAAACTTCTTCATGGGTACAATTTATAATTTATCTTTATCCTTAATCATCATTCGATTATAACTAAAGACATTGTCGGAAGTTGGTGTGATATAACACTTTGAGAATGAAATATCGACATTTATCGTATCAAAAAGATTATATTATTAACCTTTAACGATAAGGAATTAATGTGATTTAAGAGGACTGCATAATTGAACTTTAAAATTTATATTGAGTTATTTATTGTTAATTCGACATTAGCTTCATGAAATTTCCTTTTTTTTACTAATTAATATTCTTATTATTTATTAACAAATTCAATGAAACTGAATTCGAAATTGACCAGGATGTACTAATGAAACTACAGGGTAAAGTTTTGATGGCAGTTCCTTCCATTCCGATACTGCTGGATATTTTACACCATTAACTGTAAATGAGCATGTCCTTTTATTCATATCTAAATGAACAGTAACTTTGCTATTATCGGTTGTAAAGTTGGAACAATATCCTTCTTTATATTTGCTAGAATAATAAATACTACCTGAATTGCCTAATACCCATCCAGTACTTTGAGTTCCTGCAAATTCTTCATAATTAAAATTTTCTTTTGCACACACTCCAACCCAAGCCCACATACAAGCCTTCTCAATAATAACATCCCATTCAAAAATACCTTGATTTTCTAATGTCATCTTAGCTCGAACACTTTGATGATTTTGGCAAGTGTCTGATGCTCGTACAACTTTCCCATTATCTTCAATAATAAGCTTGGATCCACTCGTTGACTCATCCCAAACATAACTAGATTTTATAGATGCTGGTATGCATCCCCGAACTTCATTAGAATCTGTATTATTTGAAATTGCCTTATGTCGATAAACATTAAAAATCGTTTCAACCGGGATAATGTTTAAAGGCTCAATGATATTAGCCAATATTTGACTTTTAATTCGTTTGAAATCAATAAATTTTATCAAAGGTTCTAATTCATTAGCAACCTTATGATGATCCGGGATAAGCACATCATTACGTTGTTTAAAGCTATCCATATGTTCTAGGGTTGGTAATCTGTTCAAAAGAGATTTGGTTGCATCGTCAGAAATCTGTCTTGCAACTAAAATTATGCAATATCGAAAAACCTCATATTCTGGGGTTACAAAGTGTTTTTCCTTTTCTAAAGTACAAGATAAAAGGACCCGAAGTGCTGTGGCAGATAGCCGACCAAATTCAATATTATTTAATGGAATAACTGAAATAGTTTCAATTAACAGATTAGAAAGAATATTATCTTCTGTCAATGGCATCATATCAACAATTTTAGATAACAATTCCGGTGAATAATTATCATTGCAATTCTTTTCCAAGGTATTTTTAACAATCTTCATAATAAAATCTTGAAGTTCCGGTAGTTGAAAGTAGTCCGCAGCTATAAATGCCTCAACAATATTTTCTTTGGTTAAAGATTCCTCTTTAACAACTCCTGTATAAACATATTCCAATATAATTTCCATTCCTGATGAATTGATCTTTGAAAAAGAAATTTGTTTCTCATAACTTTCCCCTACTCTGCTATAAAGTAATCTGTCAAATACTTCAGATCTCGCAGCTAAAATTGCTCTACAACCATGTAATTTCTTTTCATTTTTGCATATAATTTCTATGTCACTATATTTTGGGTTATTGATCAATAATCTCAAATCTTGTTCTAATGAAAATCCTCTCGTCATTTTAGTAATATTTTCTTTTTTTTTAATAAGCAATTTAAAGAGAATTGATTTTGCGGGAAAGAAATTCAAGAAATGGAAACCCAAGTTATAAATATAAAAAAAAAGTCTAAATGGATATTTAAATCGGAGATTTTGAATTTCTTTTGAAATTACAATATTTTACATTTGTGACATTCTAATCCTTTTTGACCTTCTAAGCAAATACGTAAAGCTGGTAAAAATTCGTTTAATATATGATTTTAAGAGCTTGAAAATAATTGCATCAAATATTCTTGTAAAGTTTATTTCATAAAATTCGGAGATACGAATCCAAATTCCAAATGATCGGCACGTTTCGTGGCACCTATTTTTTCTTTTGAGTATTTCCATTTTCGATTCTAATGTTACACCTTTAACCAAACATGGATTGACTTAATCAGTTACACAAAATCGATAGATATCTTTTCTATTAGTAAACAATATGAGCTTTAAAATAATGACAAAGTCGAAAAATAGTAAAAATTAATTCATTTATTATTAGAAATTCTGTATAAAATCTTGATAAAGGATTCATTTTTGTGTATCGAATTCTATAGTGATCAAAGTTAAGCTGAATTTATTTTAAAAAAATGTCATGGTATAGCTCATAATTTGTAAAACATAAAACATTTGATTAATCTGTTTTTAATATTATTATATTTAATTTTCTAATAAATAAAGATTATAATACAAATTTTGCTTAAATATTAAAGTTTATAACTGTTCTATACTTAAAAAATTGAAAAAATTAATACTGATTTTGCTGATTTTTGATTTTCAAAACTGGAAAAATCATTTTTAGTAGCTAATTAATCATTTTAAATATTAATTTTTGCTGATTCTTTTATTTCAATCCCTAATCTCAAGAATGATTTTTAATATTCATTTACATAGAAATAAAATCCTAAAAGAATTTAAAAAAAGGCTTCATAAAGAAACTTAGTGATGAAAATCTAATGTAGCAAAACATTTATAATGCATATTATGTTTATAATAAAAAGGGATTAGTTATATGTTTCAAGACTATATATTACTTTGATGCAATTTGAAATAATATCCTTCAAGATAATACTGGTTATTTTCTTAATTAAAAGTGCCCCAAAATTTAGTGGCATTTATTATTAACTATACTTCAGATCAATTCAAATTTTCAGATTGAATCTTTTAAATTTAGATTTTTTTTGATTTGGATTGAATTATAATCTGAAAAAAATCTGTACCAATCTGAAATTTATCAGATTGATTTTTTTTACAATCCGAACTGAAAAAAACTAAACTAATCTGAAAAATTTTCAGATTAATCTGAACTGTTCAAAGCTTTATTTATTAATCAATTAATTCTTTAAATTTTTATTATATATTTTTAATAAAGAAACTTAAATAGTATTTGTAATATATTTTAACATTACACTTTTGATATAATCTTTCATCAAAACTATTATTCAATTATCAAATAGATTTATATATTATACTAAATGATTTGCAAATATAAATTACAATTTCATCAAATTATGCTATCTTTATTTTTTAACATATTTATTATACCTTTCTTTATATTAAATTCTTTGCTTTTACTATAGAAACTATACTCAAAAATTTTAAAATTATTAAATAATTTTAATTAGACTATTTTTATTTAGATAATATATGCATTTTATGATCATTTTATATATTTTGAAAAATGTAGATAATTATCTTATGATCCAAATTTTTTATATCTACTTTTGCAAGCTTATCTTGAATCAAATCCTAAATTATTATTAATCTTTCTTATTAATTTTCCAAAGTATATTGCAATTTATTTATTTTGTACAAATAGATATAGTTTTCCTTTTCTTTATTTTATACTAATTAAAATTCAAGCTATGCCCCTAAATAATCGAATATTTTTATCTTCTGTATTTATTTACTATTTTTTAGAAAGAAATTCAGGATATAATATAATATATATAGAATATAAAACTTTATCTGTT